TTGGCCAATTTCTTAAAGCTTAGGGCTTAAATCATCTATTGTAGACTGGGACTTAAGAAATTGACTAATCACAGTCGCGCATTCTACTCATACTTGACCGTGATTGGCCAATTTCTTAAAGCTTAGGGCTTAAATCTCTATTGTAGACTGGGACTTAAGAAATTGGCCAATCACGGTCAAGTATGAATAGAATGCGCGACTGTCATTAGTCAATTTCTTAAGGCTTAGGGCTTAAATCATCTATTGTAGACTGGGACTCAGTCCCAGTCTACAATAGATGATTTAAGCCCTAAGCTTTAAGAAATTGGCCAATCACGGTCAAGTATGAGAAGAATGCGCGACTGTGATTAGTCAATTTCTTAAGGCTTAGGGCTTAAATCTCTATTGTAGACTGGGACTTACGGAATTTTATGTGTGAAGGCCTTAACCCAATCAGCGCGAGGCACTTACCGAGCAATTTTTTCCGCTGAACGCGGCCTATGAATACCGACCCTAATCTTCAAACGTAATCTATACAATTCTATGTCTATGGAAACGACACTCACTGCTATTCTGGCATTACGTCAATGGTGGAGGTCTCATTGGATCTTGGGAGGAGTTGCTGTGACCGCCATTGTTACAACTCTTCGTCATATTACGGAACGTAGCGAGATTCCGATTTACTCGCGTTTCCCGTAGCCGCGTGTCGAGGACGAAGGGCTGTTTTTCTGGTGTAACTTGCACAAGCGCGGATCACAGACATCCATCAACTAGCGCATTCTCGGCGTAGCATGTCCACGATGAATCCCGAGTAGTAAGTAAACTTCCTTCTGCGTAGAGCGTAAGTGTAACGAATCTGCCACCACGTATTACGGCTTATCAAGTGACGATACATGGACGTATCCGTGATGAGAAAACGTCCTCGGTTTACGCATCCGCGAGATTCTCGTTTCCCAAGCGAGGGAATAAAAGAAAAATATTTGATTCTCATGTTCTGACAGATTTACCCTTCCATCTCGTCCGCGTTCCCCTTCTACTCTTATCACAGTCTCGCATTGTCAGTACTTTATTACGTTTTCCTCGTTACATTTTCACTCTGCATTAGTGCGACCTTGGCTCTTTTCTCGTAATAGCCGCGAGCAGACGTGAGTGAGATGGTTAACAAATCCCAGATGCTGTTTCTAGAATTTTAACAGCATTTACAAAAGGTTTCTCCGATTCGAATACACCTGTACCATAGTACAACTAGCAGGTCCACTCAGTTATTAGTTTCGTTTTGTGTCGATCCCTTTTGCGCATCTGACATTGTTCTGGGCAGACCAATGAGAGAATAGTTGTATGTGTGGTAGTGTGGCTTTGACGAGTAGGTATACACACATCGCTGGATCCTGTCCGAATAAATGGCGGAATACCACATGAGGCTTGTTTTCTGTTCCTACACTGTGAACTAGTGCAATAAATTAGAGTAAGACAAGCATATATTTTCTCATTCTACCTGCACTAGTTCACCAGTGCAGGAACAGAAAACAAACCTATGGTTGTGACCGCAAAGATCAAAGGGTTCAACAGAGAGTGGATCTACTAGTTATACTATGTCTGTACCACCTGTAATTATAAAGCGAAATAGAGACGTTGAGCCGTCTTTCTTTTCCGTATGTTTGCCAATTCGAGATACCATATGATAGAACATTTGTTTTTGTTTCAGCGATTATCTGTTTAAACTGCTTTTAATTGGAGACTCTGGCGTTGGAAAATCCTGTCTCTTGTTGCGCTTTGCCGACGACACATATACAGAAAGTTACATCAGTACCATTGGCGTCGACTTTAAGATTCGAACCATCGATCTGGATGGGAAGACGATAAAGTTACAAATCTGGGATACGGCGGGTCAGGAACGGTTCAGAACAATCACGAGTTCTTATTATCGAGGTGCGCACGGTATCATTGTTGTTTACGACTGCACGGACCAAGAGACTTTTAATAATGTAAAACAGTGGTTGGAGGAGATCGATCGTTACGCCTGTGATAACGTCAATAAGCTGTTAGTCGGCAATAAATGTGATCTACACACTAAGAAAGTAGTGGATTATACAACGGCCAAGGTAAACGGTTTTGCGCGCGCTCTTTCTCGCGATATTGCGCAATTTATTTCAATCTATCACAATCCTCATTGTATAGCTGTACTTGGTTGTAAACAGGAGTATGCTGATCAGCTTGGTATACCATTCTTGGAAACGTCCGCGAAAAATGCGATGAACGTAGAGCAAGCTTTTATGACAATGGCTGCTGAAATAAAACTTAGAGTGGGCCCGCCGTCGAGCGGAGCGAGCGATCCAGCCAACAAGGTGAAGATAGAACATGGGCGTCCAATTGAATCTTCTAAATCCGGATGCTGCTGAGAGCTATAATCTCGTGTCTTGTTTAACCAAAGTATGCAAAACGAAAGATTTGTGGTGTTAACCTAATAGGTCGGAGCTCGAATGTGAGACATTGATTATCTTCTTGCAGAAACATCTAACGTGGTTGCGGTCCGGGTACTGCAAAATTAAACTTATTACCGCAAGTATAAGAACGTACATGGAAGTTTAGTTTACCCCAACGAGGAAAAAAAGAAGAGGAAAAAAAACAGAATCTAACACTCATGGACCACCAACTCTTCCTCGGAGTTGTACGAAGCTCGTTATCTCCGCCTGCCCCAAAATTTCGTTTTTGTAGCTATCCTTCTTTCCAAAGAAGAAAAGACGTGGTTAATTGACGCTATTTTCTAGTATAAAGTTCGACTTTAGATAAATTTGTCGAATTAGTATTGATAATATCGAGTGAGTGTAGGTATGCGTGTAATGGGGGGGGGGGGGAGGGCAACTCTGGTCTCGAGAAGCCAATTTAACCAATATTGCGTACGGCGGTTATTGCGATAAGCACTTTAATTTTCTTTTTTAGCCTAATTGTAATATGTACAATAGAATATGTGTTTGGCTCCACAGCCATTTCTATTCCTCTATACAATAATCCAGAACGTTTTCTCATGTTTTCCGTTCTATATTTTCTTCTAGACGCGCAGAGGGTCAGGTCTTTTTTTTCTAGTGAGATTCCACAAGCCACGCGCCACCCTTTCCTTTCTTTCTCACTGCTCGTTATATAAATATATATAGTGTAATTTAATAACAATAAATATTTCAATGCTAACTCGGAGCGCATACGTGGCGTACTCTTATCGTGCACATCTATTTGTGTGTGGGTGTGTATATGTGTGTGTGTGTGTGAGTGAGTGTGTATGTATATATATATATATATATATACATACAAATATGTGTACAATTTATTTAAGAAATGCTACTTGCATGTATCAAACCAAACGACAGAGTGCGAAATCTTGGTTTGTACCTTTCCCGAATTTTGTCATCAATCCTCGGCACGTTACTTTTTTTTTTTAATAATTTGAATACGATCTGAAAGTAAGCATCGCAAGTCCACGAACTAGCTCCGATCGTGCGGAAAAGCGGGAATATTTTATACGAGTTAAAAATATTACAGTTACATGTAATCCAAATCATAGCTTTGTATCATGAGGGCTATTTGTGACGGGTATACGATATAATGGCATTCGAAAAATTACAGATATAGTGACTGTAATTATATGAGGTAAGAGTGAAAATAAACTGCTATCTATCCAAGTGGAAATCGCATTTTTTGAATTCCGCGATCGTAGCAGGTCGTATCACGCACGTCTCTGTCATATGCCGTGCGTTCTTTTAGGCATCGGATACATCAGTTTTTGCAGTAATTCATTCTTTTAGCCCGACTGCGCAGTCGACTGCACCGCAGATTTCCATCAGCCGGCAAATCCGATGCGCAGCGGTTGCCAAATCCGATGCCTAAAAGAACGCACCCATGTAGACGTGTAATATCCTTTCACGTGTTCACCTCATTGGCCGCGTTCAGCAGACACAACTGTTGAGTGAGCGCTCAGTATGATTGGTTAATACTTTTAGATCCAGCCAATCATATTAAGGATCTAAAAGTGTTAACCAATCATACTGAGCGCTCACTCAACAGTTGTGTCTGCTGAACGCGGCCATTGTGAGGTGTTCTTAAGTTAATCTATTAGATGGCTAGAAATTCCGTCCGGCCAATAAAAGCACAGTATAACTAGTATGCCCACTCTGTTGTTTGTTTTGTTTTGTGCAGATTCTTTTTGCGCATCCGCCATTATTTTGGCGTGGCCAATTAGACGGATGTTGTATATGGGGTAGCCATGGACCTAAGAATCTCTGGACCGAGCATACAGCGAGGTGGCTGTTAAATTCGCGGTAAGGGGAGGATAGTACTGTCTCTTTCTACAAGAGGTCACCGTCGGGTATTTCCGCCGTATATCCGATGATTCCCGAAAGACTAGACAAGTCTATACTCGCTAACTTCTGAAGTCCAGAGATTCTTACGTCCATGTTCCCGTCGAGAAATTATTATGTATAGACTATACACAAACTTCGACTATCTTCGATTACATTCGTCATCAAGCCGAATGTGACCTCTTGTAGAATGAGATACCAAGAGGACAGAAAAGGAGAGCACTCTCGTCCCCCTTACCGCAAATTTAACCGCCCCCTTGCCCGTCCTCCTACTTCGTGCTCGGTCCAGAGATTCTTAGGTCCATGGGGGTAGCACCATGGACCTAAGGCCCGGTTTCACCAACGCGAGTTAATCTAGGGTTTGTTTTCTGTTCCTGCACTGGTAAACTAGTGCAGTAAGCTAGAATGAGAAAAAATATGCTTGTCTTAAGCCCAATTCCACAATGCTAGAACTTGGTCCAAGTTCTAGCATCGTGGACATTGGGCTTTACTCCAATTTATGGTACTAGTTCACTAGTGTAGGAACAGAAAACAAGCCTCTAATCGGTCCGTTAACTTAACAGGGTGCCAACATAAAACTTCTTTATTAACCTATTTTCTTGGTTAATAAAGAAGTTTTATGTTGGCACCCTGTTAAGTTAACCGACCGATTAGATTAACTCGCGTTGGTGAAACCGGGCCTAAGAATCTCTGGACCGAGCATACGGCGAGGGGGCTGTTAAATTCGCGGTAAGGGGAGGATAGTACTGTCTCTTTCTATATATAGACTTGTCTAGTCTTTCGGGAATCATCGGATATACGGCGGAAATACCCGACGGTGACCTCTTGTAGAAAGAGACAGTACTATCCTCCCCTTACCGCGAATTTAACAGCCCCCTCGCCGTATGCTCGGTCCAGAGATTCTTAGGGTACTATTACATTTGTCGTACGACAAATTTTTCAAGCGTGTCGATTGGCCGCTGAATAGAAAGTTTCTAGATACTCGAGAATTTTACTATCCTTCAGCCAATCAATACGCTTAAAAACTTTGTCGTACGACAAATGTAATACCAGCCTTTGTCGTACGACAAATGTAATAGTACCCTAAAGGTGCCTTTTCATACGCAGCATGCAGCAGCAGCAAATTAGTCACGTGATCCAAATTCACTACAGCATATTTGCTGCTCACGGAA